ATCCTGTGGCTGCTTGATTTAGGCAGCCAAAAAAGCTCCCATAGCCTTTCTTAAACTATTAAATAATACAGTTGATCTGTTCATTCTTGTTAGTTATGTACATAGACACTAAAGTCTTCACAGAAAAAATGCAGAGGAGGCAATTAGGGAGCAGAATTTTTTTTTTCTTGTTTCTGCATCAAACCCATCTCTAGTGGAGGAGTTAATTTACTCTAATTATCATGCAGCCTCTCTAACGGACACCTTGCGCAGAGCCACATCACTGCACGGTTTGCAGTTGGTATATTTCTATGGTTTTCTTCAGAGAAACAGAAAGCTGTTGTTTTGCACTGGGGGTGGTTTCTCAGGCTGGAGCGCTGTGAGCTGCCGGGGCTGTGCTGAGTGACCGTTGTCCTCCCAGGATGTGTTCAGCGCTCGGGCTCCTGCCCCTCCGCTGCCCGAGCGTGGCTGGATCACTTCGACAAACCAGCAACGCCTCAACTTTGTATTCTCAAGGTGCACATTGATAAACCATGAAAAGAACCATTATGTTTCCTGTTATTGTTCTATCCACGGAAAAAGGGATGTGTGTAAGTTGTTACAATATGCAGCTTGCTTGTTACCTACAAAACGGCGAGAAGCCACCAGCCTGTCTGCTGTTGGTTTGCACGCCCCGCCTTCTCCTGGAAGAAATAGCTGTGCTTTTACATAGTGGCTTTGAAATAGGATACTGCCTGAAATCTTTATTGTCATGTTTGACTTCAAAAGAGACATCCTTAAAAGAGCTGATCCCTAAAAATAATGAAATTTGCTACTAAGCTGCTAGTGTTTAACAAATAACAAGGTTAAGGATAAATATAATTGGCTCTACTCTCCCACCACATTTTTTTTCTATCCTGCAGCCCTATGCAAAGGTCATTCAGTGGAATTATTGCAACAAAGGCAAAACAATTTGTTTTTCCAGTCTCTGCTCTACTATTGTTATTGTAGTTGGTGGCATGCTGTGGTTGAGCCATTTTAGTCTTACTTGTTGAAATACCTTTTAACTTTTACTAGGTATGTATCAGCTGTACAAACATTTTTTAAAATAGATCTTTGACCTGGACAAGTTTACCTGTCTGAACACACCCAAAGCGAAGCAAACTGTGGCATTTGTGTTCCTACCAGGCACAGAGCTGAGAGCTGCCGTGGTGTGTGCAGCAGCATCGTGCTGTTAACTTCTCTCTGGTCTTTCCAAACTCATCCCAGAGCCCTCAGCTCGTGCAGGCTCCATCAAAGAGCCCTCGCTTGCACTTCTTGGCTCTTTCAGAAGCACGGTTAATTATCGGTATCTATTCATAGTCTACACATTCAGCATTAATAACTGTGCTGGTTGCTTCAGGGCAGAGCTTGCCGCATTTGTTATCGACAATAAGCAGTGAGAATTAATTGCCTCTCATTAATTCAGTGGTGAACATCTTACTTCACACGGCTTTCGGAGCAGGAGGTGGCCTCGTGATGCGGCTTTGTGGAGAGAAGCAGGTTGTCCTCCCTGTCCTGGCTGCACGGCCCTCTCGCTCTGCAGGCTCTGTGGTTGCAAACGGTGGCTCCAGCCCTGGAGTGGGTCCTGGCCAGCCAGAGCTCCCGGGGCCCTGCACAGACACAGCACAACTCCCACGGCATTTCTCCTTCACAAAACGGAGCTGGCTTCTAGTTTGCTGCTTGTCCAGACACAACTCCGCTTCGTCACACCCAATTAATGCCTTAGTTCTGAATCACACTGATGGACTTGTGCTCACAGGCAGAACTCAGTGCAGGCCTTGCGCTTCAAACAGTTTCAAAATTAATATCCATGAGTAATTTTGCATAAAGGAGCAGTGCTCCTCAGCTCGTGACAGAGGCTTCTCTTCCCTAGGCAAGGCTAGGGAAATGTTTTGAAATCAGTACATACACCACTGAACAGAAAAATCTGCTGTAACCTGTGACGACTGTTTATAAAACACTGTTGCCAATTAATTGCACTTGTCCTCAGGATACTACAGTTCTTTTTTAATTTGGAAGGTTTTCCTTAATTCGTAAGTTTATATGGCTCTAACTTGGAAGGAAATGGGTATGAAAGCACAGCCACAGCCTGCAACCCTCACACTTCACCTTTCCAGTGGCCAGCGGCCGGGAGAACCTCATAAATATCAGAGTATTCCACAGCATGTCTGCCTTAAGGAATCTGATTTAGAGTCTTCATCTCCATAGGTTTTATGATTCATCACATTGGATAGACAAGGAGAAATATGAAATATGGCCCCAGTGCACTGCTGCAGCTCCACTGACATTAGGCATCTATCATCAACTACCATTTGTATTCTACGTCTTAAGTATTTATATCTCACGTAATTGAATTTATCACAATCCTTAAATATATTTCTCTTCTCAACAACTTAATGAAGTCGGGAAGAACTGTCACAGGTCAGAAGGTGAACAAAGAGGGTGTTCTGCTCTGGGCATGCAGGAAGAACGGTGTGAGGGGAACTGAGCACATCTGTCAGTTCTCTGCTGGGACCCTGACCCTATGTGCTACATCACGTTTCTTTCCAGTTGCACACTGCTTGTTTGCTAATAAAAATTAATACAGAATGTTCCAACGTGAAGACATCTTAGCTGTCAAAATACAGTGCTAAATGAGCTGCTGTTTAAAATAATTTTATAGACAAGTAGGTGGGCCTTGAGTGCTTTCAAAGCAGTGCTGAAGACGTACTTCACATCGTTCCTAAAGATGAGCTGTCACAACATGTTGGTATGAGGGCTGGGGGGGAACTACTTCTGGATCTTTGTATAAAAGGCTGTGCTGCTCTTATTAGCTGCACCACAAATTCCAACAACTGCTTTATGAATTCTTCTGCACTTGAGTTTCACCCTTCAGAGCATCAGACTTATTTAGGGTCTTCATATATATTCATCAGTGAGGATGAAATCAAGATTTAGCTCTAATTCAAAGGCTAATTTAGATTTTGGCATATGATTAACATTCCACATAAAATTACGTCCATCAAAGTCAAGCATATGCATAAATCTTTGCAGGACTAGGGCCAAAAGATTTCTGAGTATCCACTTATTCAATACAATTTATATAAAGAATTATTCTTATCTATTATTTATGCAAGCACCTTAACTAGGTAAATCTTGACATAGCTAAGTCTCTAATTACTCCCTCTGTTACTTTTCATCTGGCTTCCACTCTGTACATAGTTATCTAGTTCTTGTGGCAGCTGGGCATCAAAACCGTTCACTAACTGTAAACACAGCATTCCTCTTCTGCAAGTTTATATCCAGCAAACAATCTCAAAACCTAATTTTTCTGAAAAAAAGCTCCAACAGGTAACAGCATTAGCTGTGTAATTTGGTAAACCATAAAAAAAATAGTCATGCTAAATCATAAAAAGCTATACTAAGTGAAAAATTATTGCAATATATACAGGAAAAATATTATTTTTTCCATTAAAATACCATCATTCACCTACAGCAAACAAAATTCAACTGGTCCACTTAACATGGAATCACCAAAACTTTAATACTATATTTTTGGCATGCAATATATGCATAATTAAACAGTTAGAAAACATATACAAGTGTAGTATACATAGTGTAAATGCAGTGTTGCTGTGGATCGTATCTACCAGGATATTCACCATACCAGTCATAACATTGGCTAGCAAGAAAAACAGCAACTGATTTTTATTGATAGCACTGATCAGGCAGACGTGTGCCCGGGCACCTTCCCTGCCCACGGGCACGGCCCCCACTGCAGGCTGTGCACGGGTGGGAGGGGGCTTCACCACATCCCAGCAGCAGGGCACGCTGGAGCCCGGCACCAGCAGCCTGGTGAAGAGCAGCGTGAGGTCGGCCACTACAAACCAGGTGAAGAACGCCAGGCAGTGAGCCAGCACCCAGAGGCAGTAGGAGAGGTTGGCCATGCGGCGGGGCACGGGGGCCGCCTGCGCCCGGGGCCCCCCCTGGGACCCCCGGAGCAGCACAAGGAGCAGGAGAACCGCCAGCAGCGAGAGCCGCACGGCGCCCGTCCAGCCTGCCACGGAGCTTCTGCACTTCAGCAGGCAGAGGCCCACCTGCACACTCGCCAGGTAGATGGCTAGATAGCCAAAAAGAGAGAGCAGCCCTTCCCTGTTGGCGTTGAGAAAGCCGACCCGGGTATCTCTGCCGTCACTCCCGTGCAGGATGAACGTCTTCAGAGAGGTAGTGTTAAGAATAAGCTGATAAAGTACGGCAAGATTTAGAGCCACAATCCAAGATTTATTTTTTGGAAACATGGCTAAAAGTAGAGAGGCTGCAAGCCTTACAAATGCTAAGGTAAAGAAAAAATTCCAGTGCACTCCATACTCTGACGTGTGCTCGTGATACTCTAGAGATTTAACACTAAGCAGCCGGCCCGTGCCAAGAAAAATCAACGGCCAAACAGAAAAGAACTGCCTGGCCAGGCTGGAAAGTTTGGGCTGTGTCCCATCAGACTTTTGCCTAACTTCAGGACAAACGAGAGCATTACCAAAAATAAAAGCACCAACCCCCAAGTCCATAACTCCTGTTCCGTAGGTCTCGGCTTTGGCGTAGCGCCTCGGGTACTGTGGGAAATCCACTGCCAAAATGCTGATGGATGTCAACACATTGACATAGACGCGGAACACGGTTATGGCTGGAATGTATTCTGGATCCAGGGACGTCTTCTGGAAGTCTCTTAAAATTTTCCTGAAAGGCACCTGGGTCTTGTGTTTTCTTTGGCTGTATATTTTAGAAAATATTCCGGCACAAAAGGCTGCAATGAGAATTGGCATGAAATAGAGGATTGGAGACAAGACTGTACAACAGAACAGGAGGGGAGATACTAGCACAAGGAAGTCCAGCAGCAGACTGTACGTCCTGGAACTTAAAGGTTTCCCATAGTGCAGGTAATATAAAATCAAGAGGAGTCCTCTGCAAAGCAGGCAGAGGGGAGCCAGGGACAAGCCGAGTGAAATTTCCAGCAAACTAGTTCCATTTAAGTTGCTGATAAAGGCTTCTTTCAGCTGCTTTTGTGACATTCTTCTTCCTCCCTCTGAATGCAGAAAAAAACTCGAGTTAGTTTTGTAAATCAGGGCTCTTAGAACGTCGTCAAAAATCAATCCTATGCTCACTCAAGAACGAATCCTTGTTCATCAAGACAAGCACCGATTTCAGAACTCCTGTTTTGCAGTTACTCTTCCGTCACGGCCTGGCCAAGTTCCAACAACCTTCTGAACGTATTTTTGCTGAAGATCCCTAAACACGAGCTACTCTGTTGAATATTCACACCGTGGATGACCTTACCGTGCGCCCTGCCCTGGAGCAGACACTCGGTGACGTTCCA